GACTTCCGCTAAAATTTCAGACTTTGTTCCGACATTAGTCGGATAATAAATTATAACCGTTTCACGTTTCAGTTTTAAATTCTAACGGTTTTCAGAAGTCATGTTTTTCACTGTAACCCCCGAATCAGTTTCGCAAATTAAAAAGTTAGTTTATTTATTTATTTATTCAGAATATTTGCGAAAAATCGCGTACTCTGATGTATATCAGTCAGCGGGGTGTTACATAAGGGCCTTCCTATTCCACCTAGTATCCGGCTGGGGCTTCAACCTCAGTGTCTGGATGGTGTGCACACGATCGGCCGAGGGCCGAAGGTCGACGGGCCAAAGATTAAGCAAGCTTTTCAATACAGTTAAACATAATTTTAAGAAAAGTTACAGTACAGCTTATCTATTATTATGCTGCTATTAAGTTTATGTTTACAGTTGTTAAGTTTATTTCAGTTCCAGTTTCCCACGAGCATGCAGATGTGCTCACACTCCCACAGTTTTTTTTTTCTTATTTTTAGGTGCCGGAGGCCAGCATGCCGAGTGAGCCAGCGTGGCAAGTTGTGGTCATGAGTCGAGGACATTTTTACCCACCACTTTATGTCCCATTATTCATGAACCAGTTTATGTATGAAGTTGTTTGATTGTATTCCATACTTTATGCTTCCGCTAAGTTGTTTGTGCAAGACAGACGGACTGCATGTATAATTCCATTATCGCCATAGTGGCTCGATTTGGTTGCATGTTTTAATATGTCCGAGATAGTAAGTTAATAAAGTTTTAGTAGCATCCTGTCGGAGATAAGCATTTTCGAAAATAAGCTCGCACGATATTTTGAAAATAAAAGCGAAAAATTTACTCTGATTTTAAAAAGTCAAAGCTAGTCAAGGCGGGGTGTTACATTACCTAAAGAAAATCATCTCTTAGACTACTGTGGAATGCTCAATCATAAATCTTATCCTCCTTCCGTCGAGCAAATACTTCGACCTTGGCGTCGGCGATCGACATGTAGCTTCGACCTCATTACTCGACCACCAAATATTATTACCATGCTAACTTTCCCTTTATTTTCTTGCAGATTTCACATCTAGGCCTGCACTCTCCCTCCGCAAGAGGACTGGTCCTCTTAACAAAAAGAAGTATAGCCAGAAAATGGCTACACATCCGTCCGAGAAGGAAACTTGGTCTTCACTACTTCTCTGCCACTATTTCGACTAGCTCGGCTTGACCAGTTTGTTCGATCGGTTTGCCAAGCTGGCTTATTTGGCCGGTTTACTCCTTTAGGTATGTTATCCCATATCACTTACCAATCCCAACACAACGATCAGCCGAGACGCATCACGACGACCACCGCGCAAGGCCTATACGTAGCCAGCGACCCCTCACGCCCGTACGCAGCCCGTGAGCTTCTCGCACATTCCAGTCAACTATGACTCGTGTGTTGCAGCCCCGCACGACCGCGACCCGTCTATGCGAGCGATTTTCTAGTCACCCGAGACTTTCGAAGAGGTGATTTCGACGAGTGGAAAATCAGATGATCTCCATCAACGGAAATCTACAACGTCTCAGAATCTGCAATTTTTATGCCGTAATTTTTTAATTTTAAACCTCTAAATCCGTTGCGCATAGGTTTAATGTTGATTATCTAATTCGTGACTTATACATAACGAGTTCTTCACCGGTCCAACAATTATGCCTTCAGAGCGCGGCGAAAATAGTTATTTCCTCATATTTACAACTTAAAGTAGGGACAATTTCTGTTACACCCTGACTTGAAAATATATTAAGTATTTTATCTTGTCAACTGACAATCAAACTTTTTTCACCTCGGAAAATGCAAAAGTTGTGAATGGTTTGCATAAGTGTCGCATATTCACCAAAGAAATGTGTGAAGGGTTATTCGAGTTTCCTCATATTTTTAACTTTCGCATAATTGTCGCATTATTACCGTGTAATATCTTTCTCACTTTTTGAGATGAAAAATTTAACTTCTAATCCTGCAGTGTAAAAAAGTGTAAATATTATTTATTTCATTAAATTAACTCAACTTTAACCAAACCCTACTATTTTCAATATTGTCAATATAATTAAATAATATCAACCAATCATTCTTACACATCACATCAACTTTAATTTCCTATTCATCCACTCACATAATTTTAACTAATCATCACTTCCAATCATTTTTCTCATACTTAACATCAAATCAACTTTAATTATTTTATTTAGATATGATATTAATATATCTACTAACAATTAACAATACCACATTTTTTCAACATTAACTATAATTAAAAAACAAATCAAATAAAAACTAGTTAAATCTATAAACAATCACACTCTTAACAATTAAGTATTAAACTATGAATTTATCAAATCAAACAAGCTGCTCAATTCTTAGGTGCTTTTATGTAATTATCCTAAATAGCGGGGTGGAAAATAGAAGCTAAAAATATAGTCGCCAGTTGCTATAATGCAAAAGCGTTATCCTCATCTGCAAAAAGTCGTCGTAATCCTAACTCCCCGACACCTTTTTAGACTTCTGCAACCAATATCTGTCTCTATCTCTCTCTCTCTCTCTCTCACCTTTATTTTATTGAAATACAAACGTATTCTAAACCCATATCCTAAAGAATAAAAGAATTTAAAGAAGGAAGAACAAACATTAAATTAAACAAAGAAGATGAAAAGAGAATACGCAGCGACAGCCGACCGCCACCTTCCATCCTCCTCCGCCGCCAACATCCTCCCGCACCACCACAAGTTCCACCTCCAACCGCCGCCGCACCTCCGCTGCCCCCCGACGTCTGAGGAAGCCGACAGCCACAGTCACAGCCTCACCCCCGAGAGATCCGGCCGCGCCGTTGACGATCCCCGGGGGCCCCCACTCCCCCCGCCTTCCTCCGGCGACGACTCAACCATCGAGGTCGTCCGGCGTCCCCGGGGGCGTCCCCCGGGTTCCAAGAACAAGCCCAAGGCGCCGGCCGCCCCCACGCGGGAGTCGCCCCCGGGCCCATCTATGAGCCCCTACGTCCTCGAGCTGCCGCCCGGCGTCGACGTCGTCGACGCAACAGAGAGGTTCTGCCAGCGGAGGGGCGTTGACCTCTGCGTGCTTAGCGGGCACGGCCTCGTCGCCAACGTCGCCCTCCGGCAGCCATCCGCCACCACCGGCGCCACCGTCACCTTCCACGGCCACTTCGACGTCCTCTCGATCTCCGCAACCGTCCTCCTGCCCGGCGGAGGTGGCGGCGCCTCCCTTCCCCCGGCGGCTTCGAACGCGCCGTTCGCGATAACCCTAGCGGGCCCGCAGGGGCAGGTGGTGGGGGGCCTGGTGGCGGGGCCGCTGGTGTCAGCGGGGACGGTGTACCTCATTGCCGCCACTTTCAGCAGCCCCTCGTTTGAGCGGCTTGGGGCGGCGGATCACGACGATGGCGCGGATGGGAACGGCGGGCTTGAATCCTCGCAGGCGGTTACAGGCGGTGAGACCGGCGGCGCTCCCGTGTACAGCTACCAGCCGGCGGATGTCATCTGGGCACCCACAGCGAGACAGCCGTCGGCGCCGCCTTACTGATCGATCCACTTGCCCCAAATGCTCCAATTAGCTGAATTTCTTTTTCTTTTTATTATTATTATTGGATTATTGGGGCCATTGTTAGTCAGTTGCCTAGTTTCCCACCATCCATCTTTTGCTTGATTTTTCTTTTTGATATTTGATATATCATCGTCTCTTGGTATGCACGCGAAACACCAACACTTGTACCAGTCTTCTCGTGGATCTCTTTATCAATTGCTACCCGTTATAATTATTAGTATTATTTTTTTCGTTTCTACTTTCACCTCTAACCTTATAAGTGTCATAATAATAGGTTCCATTTTGTAAATTAATGTAGAATTGTTTTGCTTTTATTTTTTTATTTTTTTTTTACCAATTTTATGGATCCAAATTTTTAGAAATTTTCCAAAATTATAAAAGTGCGTACAGAGAATTAATTAAAGTTTGAAATGAGTTAAAATATTAAAAACATTGAAGTTAAGGGGCGCTTGTGTACAAAATATTTCATATTTAATTTATACTAATAATATAATTCAATTTTAATTAAATCTCACTATTTTTAATATTATTTGTATATTTAAATAACACAAATTAATCATTCTTACATATTACATCAATTTCAATTCACTACTGATCCACTCATTTATATTTAACTAACTATCACTTACATTATCTCCCTCAAAGTTTTAAATCAAATTAACATCTATTTTAATGTATTATTCATCCACTCAACTAAGATTATAATTTGAATAAATAGTCGACCACCAAATAGTCAACAAACCTCTTAATGAGCATCGGGCCCCAATAAACACCGAATGACCACTGAGGTCGAAAACCGAGTGACCCACAACTGGGGTGATACACCAAAAACCGAACGACCACTGAAGTCGAAAATCGATTGACCTGTCACTAGGGTCCAACACTAAAAACCGAACGACCACTGAGGTCGAAAATTGAGTGACCCGCCACTGTGGCCGAACACCAAAAACCTAATGACCACTAAGGTCGAATATCGAGTGACCAGCCACTGGGGCCGAACCTTATCCAAGAGCAGATTCATTTGCTCTTCATTTTGCAATGGCGACCTTCTATCTCTAGACCTGCTTACTTGGACTCCATGGTGTTAGGATCTATGAGGATCTCGACAATGTGCAACTCACGGACTAACTACGAATTAAACCCTAAGCGCAGCAGAACTAGAAGCGAGGGTTCAACACGCACCATTTATAATTTTTGGGGAGTCTAAGACGTTTCTGATTTCCGTTGTTGGAGATCGTCTGAAACCTCGAGTCCGTTGGGCAGCTGGACTTGTCCTGCACAATCACCGGATTGCTCGCCAACCATGTCGGATCATCTTGGACTTGTCTCAGACTCACTGGAGCTCCCCAAATCAACTAAACCGCTGTTAGACCGACCTGGACCAATTCTGAGCATGTTGGACCGGACCTGTGCGCCTTGCACCATCGCTGGACCGCCGACCGCTTGATGGGCCAGTTGGGATCACTTGGGCCACACTGAAGACGTCTTTGGGCCACACTCCACGCGTTGGGCCGGACACATGCTGGGCTGGGGGGACGCGGGCTGTAGCTGAGGGGGTGCGCGGGCTGGGCGAGTCGGGCTCCGTACAGGCTCTCGTGGCTGAAGTTTGTTAGGCGCGTGTAACGGGCGCGGGTTGGATACGAGCCGCGCAACCAGCGCATTGGATCTGCTCCACATCTGGGCCTCCGCACGATTGGGCTTGCGCGTGTCGGGCTGCTCGTCTGGTTGGGCCTCCTTGCCAATTGGATCACGTGGGCCTCATCTCCTTGCGGGCTGCGCGACTGGACCACTGACGTAAAGGCTGGGCCACGCAGATTTGCTCTCTAGGCTGTGCGTGCGTGTCAACTACGAACTGGAGGTTGCGGCAGCGCGTGAGGGCGCGTGGGTCCCTGTCACCACTGCAGGCGGCGGTGTCAGGTCGCCGAAAGTGCGCCGATCGTAGGAGAGTGGTCATCGGAAATTTGCCGGTCAACTCCACTATATCCGGTTTGCACAATTTAGTTTTTTCATGAAGAGCGGACAACCACGCGAGTTACAGAAACATTACGAGGTTGAATATATATATATTAC